GTGACCCTGCGTCACAGTGTGCGAATCAGACTAAGTTTAATGGAGAGCGCGGTGGTGAAAAAGCGTTAGTTCATTCCTGATAAATGGGCATAAGATTACAGAGAAATATGGTAAATATAAAGCATATGAATAAATCAAAATAAAATAATATATAAACATAAATACATGCATAAAATAATAAGTCTGGGATATACTAAGAATACAGCAGCATACATAATAAAATAGAGTTCCTAAAAATAAAAACAAAATTAAATTATAATACATATGTACAACACGATGGAAAGGAAATACTATGACAAGTAATAATAAACGAATAAAAAAGCTGGAATAAATGCAGAAATCTGGATGTAGTATATATGAGGATACAGATGCAAAAATATATATATACAGATATGTACAAGTAAAATTAAGTTGGAAAATTTTGATCACAGAGGTGGGCCGCCCAGGGTCTCAGATCTCTGTCCTCAGGTAGAGCTGTATAGTTGAAGACTTGGAAATAACTTTCATGAAGGGACAGTTGAGCGCTTTGCAGAAAAATTTATCGTTTGTCTTCATAGATGTAATCCTTAATGTAGTCAATTTTTAAATCATTGTGAAGAGTAGCATTAGAAACATAGTAGTGCGCGTCTGTGAATGAGTCTCAGAAACTTGTTCTGAACAATTTGAATTTTCTTTATATCCTTATTTTTGACAGTAGCCCAGGCAGGTGAAGCATAGCAGAGGGTGGGTCTGATGATGGCCGTGTAGATATGCTTTTTACTTTTTAAGATTTAGATCAGAGAACTTTCCTAATAGAGGCATGAGATTTTTCATATTACCATAGGCTTTACCTTTAATGATATTGATATGATCGGTCCAGGTGAGTCGATTATTGATGGTAATTCCGAGGTACTTAGCTTTATTAACTATAGGAATATTTTTGTCGAAGAGCTTTAAGTCGTTGGTAATGATTTGGTGCGTCTTTCTATTGCGGCTTATAATAAGAAGTTGAGATTTTTCAGCGTTAATGACAATTCTCCATTGCTTGCACCAATATTCAATGGAAGGCATGATATTTTGTAATTTTTGAATTGCTGCGTTGGGGCTAAGGGATTTTACTGCAAGAGCAGTATCATCCGCATAGCAACCAAGGAATCTATTGATCTCGTTGTCTGGATTAGGAAAGTCGGAAACATAAAATAAGTAAAGAATGGGACCTAAAATAGAGCCTTGGGCCACAGAGGCACGGATGTATTTAAAATCTGAATTTTCTTGGCCGAAGGAGACATAAAATTTTCTATTTTTAATGAAAGAGTAGATTAATTTAGTCATTTCCGGAGAGAAGTTGAGTTTGATCAGCTTGAAGATGAGCCCCTCATGCCAGACGCGGTCAAAAGCTTTGGCCACGTCGAGCATGAGTAGTGCGACTTTCTGGTGATTGTGCAAAGCACTACCAATAAATTCGAATTAATCGAACAAGCTGCTTGGTGGTAGAGAGAGTTTTCCTGAAACCAAACTGTTCCGGAGGAAGCCTGCTGATGTATTGTTGCATTCTATTAAGAATGATCCTCTCAAAGATCTTGCCAAGTCCGGGCAGTAGGCTGATGGGCCGGTAGCCTTCGGGAGTAGTGGAGTCCTTGCCTGGCTTTAGGAATAAGGATGATTTTTGCAATCTTCCATTTCATAGGAAAGTAGGGACTTTATCCAGGGAGGCGTTATAAATACTGATGAAGCTTAGAAATGGTGCTAAAAGGCAGATTTTTAATGGTGAATATTATTTATTTCGTCGTAACCAGGAGCTTTTCTATTTTTAAGATGCTTAATAATATCAATTACTTCATTAGGATTTGTGAATTCTGTATTAAGTCTTGCGGTGGCGCTATTAATGTACTCTTGTACAAAATACCTGCATCGTATGTGAATGCAGGATCAGAAGGAGTCTCATTCGGGATAAATTGTTTCTCAAAGAGTTCCGCCATCAGGGAAGCTTTGTCTTTATTTGTGATGGCAATCTTATCTTTTTTGATGGGTTTACTGCAAGTGGGATTATTTCTGAGTCGCTTTGCAAAGCTCCAGAATTCATTGCCGGGCTTGTTGAATCTTTGGATTTTATTTTGCCATTGTTCATTCTTGTAATTATTTATATTCTTCTTAATTAATCGATTAATTTTATTAAGTTCGCATTTAATATGAGGGTCCCAAGTCAGGTTCCAACGTTTCCTAAGCTTGTTTCTTTCTTTGATGAGAGTTCTGATGCTGTGGGGGAGAATCTCCGGGAATTTGTTGGCAGGGATCTTCTGCGTAGCAAAATTGTAGGCATATTTAATACTATTGGTGAGTGTGTCGATAGCGACTTCAATGTCATACGTAGTTTTGAGGCTGCCTATTTTTGGAGGATTATTTTGAAGAAATTCATAAAAATGTTTCCAGTCAGTTTTATTGATAAATTTGTCATCAGCAATTTTATTGGTACCAAGGGTGGCAATAACTGGAATATGGTCAGAGGTGAGATCTATAGTGGATTCAATAAAAATAGGAATGGAAGAATTAGTGAGGAGAATGTCTAGAATATCTCCTTCTCTGACATTCTCAGGAAGGTAGGTGTATTGTCTGGAGCATATAAATATACAGGATGATTTGTAATGAAGTTTTTGAGCGCAGTACCATTACTATTAGTTTGTCTGCAGGCCCAGTCAGTACTTTTGGCATTGAGGTCTCCGGCCAGAAAATTAATATCATCAGTACAGAGAATGTTCTTCAGAATTTGTTCATCAAGTGGGTTATGCGGTGGGTTATAAAGAGAGCTAAAGTAGGTAACGCCATAAGAAGGCAGTAAAACAGAAACAGTGAGTAATTCATGGTTGTTTGATCTGTCTTCTTTAATAAGGCAGGATTGCAGGCAGCTTTTGACAAAAATTGCAGTCCCTCCACCTCTGTGACTAAGCCTGTCGCACCAGTAACACCGGTAATTTGGGATATTCATTCGTTTACTGGGATTTGCATGGGTCTCGGTGATTAATGCAATATCGATGTCTTTGGTGATAAGGAAATTTTGAAGCTCCGGAATTTTATGTAGGATATTGTTGGCATTCCAAATCATGATTTGTATGGGCGCTTTAATAAGAGTGTTAAGACCCATTATTTAAATTAGTGGTAGTATTTTTTCCTCATTAGTAGTATTAATCTGTTTAATTTGTTGGGTGATTTGCAGGAATCCTGCGCTTTTAATGATGGATACTAGTTCAGCGAGATCAGAGAATATTTTCTTCGCTTCACTGATGGTTTCATTGAAAGTTCCAGATGCCAGGGTTTGTGCATACGATTTACCTTCAATTATGCGGCTTTGAAATGTTTTTTGTTTTTCTTGTTTTGGTTTAGGGAATTTAATGCACCCTTTAAAACTGGAAGTATGATTTTGACCGCAATTGGCACAGAGCAGCGGTTTGTCCTTATTGTTCTTGTCAGGGCAGTCTCGAGATTCATGTGAACCTGCACATCTGACGCATCGAGGTTGGTAATTGCATCCGATTTGAGTGTGGTTAAAGCCCTGACATTTAAAACATTGTAGAGGGCCTTGCCTACCTTTGTACTCTTCTACATTAATTCTTAATCCACATAGGTATTTTGTTTGATAAATTTCCTTAGAGGCTTCATTTTTGGGTAATGTTACTAAAAATAAGGGAAGTTTAGATACTTCACCATTTCTTCTTCTAGTCATTTGTTTAATTTCCTCGGGTTGGAAATTAAGTTCTTCAAGTTCTTCTTTAATTTCTTCAGTTTCAGTACTCCTGAGGAGTCCTTTGATAACTATTTTAAGTTTTCTGTCTTGGGGAGAATGTAGGAGTGATGTTCCACCCCCAGATCTTTAAGTATTTTGACCATTGCCTTATACTTATTGGCGCCACGCCAGGAGAGATAAGACCTTTAAACTCAGAGTCACGTGATCGCACATCTGGTCGAACGAAGACTATCCCTTTTTTTTCTGCCGCGCCTACTTGCCAAAAAGAATCCAGAAGAGAATGTCCGAGAACCGGGGGAATGAGTCATAACTCGCAATAAGGAAAGAACAAAAAAGAAGTTTTTTCCCCCCTTTTCACGCGTTATCACTGCCTTTGGAGAAAAAAAGGAAAAGTTTTCACCACACACACTGACCTTGCATTTTCTGCTTTCAAAGCAAACAAAATTACCCAGATCAAAATAAATAATTCATTATTATTCCTACTTCCTTTTGAATGACGATCCCCGGAATTTCCGGTTATCGAAGTTCAAAATCCCCGGAGCACAAAAACCCTGTTGTAGAATATCTAGTCTTCTCAGGTTAGTTGACAGCATAAGTCATGCGTATATTATGTGTATATACACTGCAAGATGTACCCACTTATGTTGCTGGTTTTAATATACGAAAAAATGAAAATGTCACTGCACAGGATTCTGTTAAAGGCCAGATTAAAGAAATTAAAAGGACTGCAATCTGCCTGCGATGTGGCTTTTACCTGCTCCTGCTTGAACTAAATAGTTTGCCTAAAGATAAACAATTCTGTTACCCAGATTTTCCAAATTTCTAGAAGGGTTGTGTTGCCAGTTTGGATTTCTACTGTTTTACGAAAGCAAACAGAGAAATACAAATCAGAAGTAAAGCTAAACAAAAACTGTGCGTATTTTGCATGCCTTTGATAAAAGCTGATCTGATTAATAAAATGAGATAAAATAAAAATTATTTAAGCATTTTAAGAAGTTAATGGATTTATTATTTGTGCATTACAAAACTACCTTTTTGAAGTAAGGCTTAAATTCCATGTAAATTTATACAATTTACAGTAGTAATTAGAAATAAATTTCTAGAACACATCAGCTGATAAATAATTAAAATAATGCTGATTTTTTTTTTTGGTGTGTGTGTGTGTGTGTGTGTATGGAATTTACCATGTGTATGTTGAACACATATGCATTCTAAGCATAGTTTAGTAATTACATGCATTAAGAATTCAAGGTGCATATAGATAAATTCTTTGACAACAGTAGAAAAATATTTTTAGGGAACATATATTTCAATAATTCTATAAAAATAATCAACTATATATAACTTTTTTAACAATATAAATTTAAATAGGTTTACACGTCATTTGCAGATATTAAATAGTTTATAATACAACTTCCAATCCACCTGCTTTGAATGTGATCTTTCAACAAGAATTTCACATCTCAGAAGAAGGAGCATATGAAAATCCCGGGAAAGCAACATCAGCATCTTGTACACTGGCACTTAAACTATGTGATCTCGCCAAAGATGCTATGGAGATAGTGAAAAAAGAATACTAAGTACAAATTTTTGGGGAAACATAATAGAATTCTATCAATATCGTTTAAAATATTAGAGTCAGATTTTTTTAAAGACATCAAGATATCAGAAATAATAAGCTAATCAAGCTATCAGATATCGAGATACCAGAAAATGCTAACTGCATTCAAATATATATTACTTATTACATGCTCCACCCTTAAACACTACATGGAAAGGGAGGGATGACCTGTGGAGGTATTTTTAAGGGAAACTGGCTCGTATCCATGTAGGTAGGAAGTAAGATGGAGTAGCCCTAAACAAGTTTCTCCCATACCCTGCTCTGAAGCACCGGTGATCCCTACGTGGTGACCAAAACATTGGGTCATTTACCATCGAGTTCAATGGGATTTGACGCGTTCGGATGTAAATATTTTGTAATTACGTCGTAAATATACATATAAATGTATATATTTTCTTTTTCTACAACACTACAGAGTCCTAAGTATGTGAAAACAACATATTTTTAAACAATATTTCATTCTGAACGGAATTAAATGCTATACTTTTCACAGGACAGTTTTCTCAGAATGGTTTAATTTGAATGAAATATTTTCGCAAGTTTTCGTTAATTACATTAGAAAAAAAATTAAGGTAATTCGATTTTATTCAGTTGTACAAAAGTTAAGGTTTAAAATGAGCAGCAGTAAAGCCTCTTCTCTAAAAAGTTTTAAAAGGTACATGTTACAATAATATATGGATGTGAAAAAAATTTGTTTTATTTAAAACATTTTGGCGTTTGGAAAATAAAATAAAAGTAGCGAATACTCTATCAAGGGTATCGAAAGACGTATACAATTTTAAATGTACCGTAAGGTATTTTTCATTCTTTAAGCATAACATTTTTCTTAAAATCTATATTTTTGTAGTTCAACAGCTTAGAATTTTATAAAACAAATTCATAATCAAAATCGCTGTTGTTAGTTATCAAAAAATAACCAAGATGTGATTTTTGCATAAATGTCACTAAACTATACAAATTGCTATTATCCATCACACTATGAATGTTTCTTTCATGCGAAAGTGTCCCTTTTTCGATTTGTATGGAACTGTCGTGTGTCGAAATACTATCAGAACCCTGTTAAGCGAGCTTCTGAATGTAAACAAAGAACACCCTGTCTGGTGACCCAAGCTTCAAAGCAGTGCTTCACTTCTAGCGCAGAATGGCCCCTCCTCTCTTTCCTACCTCCATGTGTTACACATGGGGGAAACCACACAAATGCCCATGCAGCAGCCCATTTACCAGGACTGAAGTACCAGTATTCAGTGGCTTTTTGCCAATCAGCCACTGGTGGGCATATTCAAATATATTTGGCATTCCATTTTTAATTGCTATCAAACTTATCTGTGAACATGATGAAATGTATAGAGTTACAATCGGATATGCAGTGTAAAAAAAAATTTATTTAAGTAGACTCTGAATTGCACCTTTATATATATAAATATATAAAACCACATATAAAAATTTTTAGCATTTTCTCAAACATTCCCTGTTCATGAAGTTGGTTTTATTTATTTATTTTATTCACTATATTCAACAGCACCTTTTTTGGGGTATGAAACATACAAAAAAAGAAAAGAAAAAAATACAAACATCTTTGAACATACTTTTTGCAATCATTACTATGTCTTTCAAACTAAAAAAATAGTGTTCATATTAAACATTTTTCCATCTAATTTGGATTATAATGCTTATGTAATTTTCTGAGATTCAGTTGTAATATGGGTTATACCGAGATCATTAACACCTACATTGCTGGCTATTAAAAGTGCTGCACCATGAAGGAAACCAATTAGCAGAATCGTATGTATTTAAATACACAATAATGGAGAGATTAAGGATTGAAATTTTAAGTGATTCTGAGATACAAAGTATGTAGAAATCAATACATTGAGATCAATACCCTAGCAAAAATGGCTACTGCTTTAAGGCTGGGTATGGGTAGACAAACAGACTTTGGATGGAAAACCATGTGGCTTCAATAACATGACAGAAAATTCCTGTGTTATGCAAGCTCATAGGAGTTGTCATGCCTGTCTGTGTGCAACCTTTGACTAGGCATTTTCAGTTGCTTAGAGATTTAGAGACTGTGTCTATCGAAGCAAGGATCAAACATCTTGTGTATCAAAAAACATAAAAGTACTTGGGTAATGTGGTCTTCCATTGTCCTGTTTGAAGGTGGAGGCAACAAAAGTCCTAGGGATATAGCACACTTCATGGGCATTAAAATCTCAGTAATATAATGGAGGTTAGTTAAAATATTAGATATGCAGAATTTTATTTATCAAATGCCTGGCCATTGACCTTTAGGTCATTAGGCAAAGAGCTCTCTAATACTTCTTTACAATACACTCCACCAGATGAGCAGCATCCATGACTTATACAGAATCACACAAAGCACATAAAGGTGAGGCAGTCAGATTAAAACGAAATAAATGAGCACCAAGGCAGTCATGTCCAGTCAATAGTCTAAACTCATCCACAGAACTAGCGCATTGTAAAAGGAGTTTTTATAAATCCTATAAATTTCAAGTTTAGTAAAGTGAAGAGAAAGGTCTCTGGAAGACCTTTGGAGAATATCCATACCTTTTTTGGCCAAAAGGTCCGCCATTTCATTTCTCCATAGGTCACAATGTCATGGCACCCACTGGAAAGCAACCTTTGACTGAATTCTGCTCAACAGCTCCCTGCAGCTCTAGACACTAGCACTTTGTTTTCCTAGGTGACTTGCTAAGGCCTGAAGAGCGGTACTTAGTCCAATAAATGGTGAAATCCAAAAAGGAACCATCAGTATAAACTATTTAATATTACACTTTGAATTTTTATCACTTGAAATTTTACCATTTTTCTTTCTTTTGTTTGTCCTCAATTTTTATTCTAGTTCTCCAAAAACAGGAAAAATTCTCATAAGATTAAATATAGGCATTCACATTTATGAAAATACAGGAAGTATACTAAATGCTAAAATAAGCAACTTATTTTATCCATTATTCATAGATTCCAGTATTATATACATATACTTTAAGACTCCTTTTTTTCATCTCATATATTTCTACCTTACACTTATTTACTTTCACCATGTATGATTTAAGATTGATATAAAAGTAATGCATGAAATTATTACCTGGAACTGGCTCACGAATGAATTCCGGATCAATATTTTTCAGGTCCATTTGACCTCTCTGAAAAAAAAAAAAGTTCCTCATGAACTTCATGTGTACTTTAAGTTGAAAAGAGTATTAGATCCCGTAGAAAATAATTCTTGCACTTGTAAACTAATGAAATAAAAATTAACATTATTAAATATATCACAGTTTTAAAAACCAATTTATTGGAATTAAATATTAATTAAAACTTTATTTTCCTCTCATGAATGGAAAAGTATTAATTTATAATTATTATAAAATATTCATGTAAAACTTTACACACCAAAGAAAATTCATTAGAAGGAAGAAATGAAGAAAAATCTCACCACATTTGGATTGTATGGAGGTGGAACAGATTTAGCTTCTAAATCATTCCAGTTGATGACACGGAAGAATTCATGACTTTTAATGTCATCTACATCACGGACTGCACCTAGTCGCTTGGTTTTATCTTTCTGTAATAGCTGAAAAATTTGGAATAAATGCAGCAACAGTCAGTAATATTCTTAAAACATGCAACATTATTTTGCATCTTTTTTTGAAACAGAAGAAATGGCTGATTCAGTTTACACAGAAAGTATATTTTTTTTATGGAACAGACAAAACAGTTTTATCACTTTTCTGAGGACTGGAAATATTTAGCATTTTTTCTGTAGCTTTTTATCTTAAATTGCTACAAAAATACACCAACTAAAATTTTCAAATGTACTGCAAGCACATTTTATCTGTTTCTACCTGTTCACTTCTGAAAATAATCGGCCAAGAAAGTAGGCTACTGTTTTTCTAACCATCAGGTTGCAGCTTGATAACAGGATTTGGCACCAATGAAACCAAGCTGCAAGGTATTCGCCAGGAATTTGATATTTTAATTTTCTAAGCACTCTTCATGAATAAATATTTTACTGTAGAAACATTCGGAGGAGAAAAATAGTCTCGAACACATCAAGGAATTCAGAATATCTAAATAACATTTGTGTAGCAGATGCTGGTGACCTCAATGCATACTTTTAAATATTGAATTAAGTATTCTTAAACAATCTGGAATATTTAAATATCAAAATCTTTCAACATTTAGGAAAGGAATACCACTACTTATAACAAGTTATAAAAACTACCTGTCAGCTGATTACAAGAGGGGAAACATCTCCTCCACTTTGAGAATTGAATGAAATAACACCAGTTTTGCAAATATTAATGATTCAGGAGTATAAAGAAAATTTTCCAGCTGAAACTGAAGATGAAAAGAGTCTATATCCATTCTTATCTAATGTCTAATACTGTTTCCTTGTAAGTTTACACTGCAGAGTGCTAACTTCTTGTTTCTAAACCTTAATGCATTGAATTACTTAACAGGCTTATAAACTGAAATTTTAATACAAATATAAGCTAAAGGAAAAGTCTTGTCTTAAGAAATCTCAAACTGATGGTGATTACTGCGAGGCACCAAGCAATGATTCCTCCATCTCCAATTGCAAACTTACAGAGGATAATATATGTAACAGATGGGAAAACTACCAGCACATGAAAGAAAATATCTTCTTTTAAATAAGGGGATAGCTATTTAAAATTTGGTTAAATGCAATACAGTGACCAATGGTCATGATTTCAATGTATTATTCACAATAATGAAGCTATGAAGCTGTAGACACTTACTTAGCATCTCTAAAACATTCTGATCTACTTGAAAAATTGCACTGAATCGAAACTTTTATGCATAAAAGAGATGCATTTAAAAATGGAAGAGAACTGTTTTTGAAACTTAACCACATACACTTCATTCTTTACTGCATCCTATTTAATAATACAGTAGAACATCAAGATACTAGTTTAATTTGTTCCGTCATTGAGCTCGTATAGCGAATTTCTCGTATCTAGAAACAAGCTTCTCCACTGAATATAATTGGAAATCCAGTTAATCACTGTACCCCCAAAAATATCAACATATAAATCAGTTTTCCTAATAAATAAGCCTGGTAAATAATACCTGGTGTTCTTTGGAGAAGGTCCAAGTACAGATTCTTAGCCTTAGGGCAAATGATAGCTTTTGACATTAAATCACCTTTTAACAGCTTCTCGTTAATCCACACCAACAACAGCTTCTCAACATCTTCTAGGAGTTTTGGACAGTGCTTGAACGTAACAGTAACTTCTTTGGCCACACCAAGTTTCTTAATTCTTTCCTTTATCAGAATATTGCAGATCGTCGATGTCAAGTGGCCGTAAGTCCCCACCAATTCCGTCACTCTTACACTATGCTTCTATTTATCTATGATTCCTTTCTTATTTTCAATGGCCATGGCTTTCTTCTTTTTTTATCCAGCACTATCTGAGCCAACAATCCTCTTGGCAGGCATCACGAAATAATTGTTTTCATGTGAAATGTAAAAAACAATTAACTCACAATTACAGAATGTCATAGATCAAAGAACACTGAGAGATCTCAGGAGGGTATTTCCCGAGTAGTGGGATCGTAAAACGCGTCGTGTATACCAATAATACTCATTGTACTCGAGTCAATGCTCATATTTTGAGATGGGTTTTTCGCTCATACTTTTCTCGCATCTCGAATTTCTCATATATTAGAGTTGCTCGTATCTCGAGGCTCCACTGTAGTACAATTAATTGTTAGAGAAAAGTATACAATAACATAGTTTATAATAAAGGAGCTTTTTGTCTACGAGAAATAAAAAGAAAAACATTCCAACTCTCAAATGATACAGTTTAAATGCGAATACCTAATAGGGTAAAAGACAAAGAAGCTAGACTCGCTGAATTTTTCCAGTTGTGATAACCTGTGCAGACCACTAGCATTTTCACTAGCATATATGGCTGTGATAAAAGTGATATGCAGAAGGCATTTTAAATTTTTTTGAATTACCAGTGCATACAACTAACAATGAAATTTTCAATATTTTAAAATGATTTCATTGGAGACAGGTCTGGAAAGGAAAAATTGCACTGAAATTTGTATTGGTGGTCCTACCTCTATTATAAGTAGAAATTCAAGTTCTGACAATAATGCATTTCAAAAGGAGGAAATTCTAATACCTGTTTGTTGAGTTGCACTCAAGACCAAAATTACCAAATTTTAAGAGCACTTGAACCGAACATTTTACCAAAAACAATGTATCGAATATTTTTCAAGTATTTAGAAAAGGCTCACTCTTCTAAGTAATAATATTTGATTCCTAGAAATACCATGCAGAATATTTATATATGCCAAGTTTTTAAAGTAAACTGTAATTTGACGTGATCAGCACAGTGATTTGCTGGCATGCTATTGAACTCAGATCCCATATGAGGAATGGAAATTTATTTGTGATGCATTTTGTTTCTTTTTTAGGAGAAAATGCTAGACCACTTCTTGTGTAAGGCAACAGCTCTTTGCAAGATGTGAAAGGACCAAAGACTTCAAACACTCCTTAACAAATCTCATAGCAAGTGAACAGTCATTGAAAGGATTAAAAATAATAATAACCTTTTTAAGGTCATAATGGAATCACACCATCATTTGACATAATACATTACGAATATAAATTCTAATTTCATGTACTACAAATACATACAAATATGTGCAAATGTCAAATGTACTGTGTCAAAAAGCAAACCATTTATAATTTCTTTCAACAGCCTCAATACAATTAAAAAATATTGCTGCAAAAGCTTAATATTGACATTTTCCCTTTCAGCAAAATATATTTAAATACAAAATATGCATATTTCGCTAATTACACATATTACAAAATATGTATAAAAATAAGATAATATATCATTTACCCCCTCCAGAAGATTTCGAGCAGGTATTGAAATATTTGTTCTCAACCTGAGAGGCTTATTCAGAATGTTCTGATACATTTCCAGAGTATCTTTACTGTAAAATGGAGGCTAAAGGTACATAAAAAATAATATCTTTAGTTAAAGAAACAATGCTTTCAGTAACATCAATTTTTCATTAATATTAAAAACTATTGATCAAAACTATTTTTCAACTGTAATGCAAATGAAAATTATTAAATACGGTGCATCACCTAAAAAAAATCTGCTTATAGGAATTTCATAACTTTTTTTATTTCTAAGAGTTCTGATAATACAAAATTGTATTATGGATTATTCAGTTATGGCAAAGCACACAAGGGCTATCTGCCTAAAGGGAGGAATGCCTTCGTGGAGGACTTTCTAAGGGAAACTGACTCGTATACCCGTTACACATGGGAAAACCACGAAAACGCCCATGCAGCCAGCTCGTTCGCGGGATTTGAACCTCAGACCAAACTACCAGTGTTCAGCATCTTTACTGCTCGGCCGCTGGTGGGCCCACATTGTATTATGAATAACTAAAACAAAAGTATGGCTACTGGGGGAAGACTGACTTCGCTCATGTTTATTATTTTTTAATGTGCATGAGTGATCAGTTACATTTTTGCTGAAATACAAAAATGCTGCAATTGACCCACACAAAAGTTATTTTAACTCAAGAACAAAAAAGAACAGAAACAACCGTCAATATCAAAGAATGAGAAATTTGGCATTATTTTGCTTTTTTCATCATGGCTTCATTTATGCAAGTACAAATCAGGCATGTGCTCTGGGCCTTCAATTTTAAGGCGACATCAAAATACCCTAACAACATTTAAAATATGTAAAATTTTTTGGTACATTTTCAATTCTAGGGCATCTATTACATTGAGAAAAGTAAAGGAATGGCCTTCGAAATAGCTTTGCTCCAGGCCTTAAATTTGTAAATCATACTCTGCCTATTATATTTTATACCATTTAATATATTTGTGTTCATGTATATGAATGAATAAAAATAATTACGGACAATGTAGCATAAAATTAGTTTCCCTTCCTATGCATTAACTTTCCAAACCTGGTGTTGGCTTGTTTCAATGAGCTATATGTGGAAATTGTTCATCTATTCAAATATTTATAAATTCAAGTAAAAGAATTAGTATCGCCATACAATTTTTAATACTCTGCATTCCTCCTACTGTAGAACTATAAATATTCTATTATATTAGATTTAAGAATATTATACAGCAGCATTTTCTTTTGCTACAAGAGACATATGAATCTACTATCATGCTTAATGCTTTTATCTCCTTAGCTATGATCTCTGTAATTATGCCATGCAGTTTTTCTACATGTATCTTAACCATTATTTATAAATTACTGAAGCATTTGCCCCTCTCCCTTCTTTTATTGTTCAATATTTAAAAGCAACTGTTAATCATTTGTCAACATCTAAGGTAATTTTCTTTAAAATGCTTTCAAAGCAATCTCACATGCTTGCTTCACATCAAAATTGTATAACATGCAAAGTTTTTGATAAGAAAAACAATTTCACTTTACATGACTGACTGACTGATTAATTTATTTCCGGACTACCACACAGTGTGCAGTTTTTCTGGCTCAATCAAACTTGCCACATGGATGCATCACATGGTATTATCTGCCTGTGGTATCCCAGAGGGAGTGGAGGAGGTGGAAAAAAGGGGGGACCGAGACATCGCGCGATCACGGACAGCAAGTCGAATGCCCTAAGTTAATTACTTTACATTTTTGGGTTAAATAGTTATAAAGACAGTTAATTTATAAAAATACTGCATCATAAAACTAAAGTACTAAATACATCAAGTCATATTCTGTGAAAGATCCAGGGAAAATTTTGTTTGTTGAAATTAAAGTGAACTGCCAACTCTGTGAATTACTTATTTAATACAAAGTAGCTAAGAGACACAGATGAAAACTACAGTGTTTAACCAAATTAAGATTCTCTAAAGCATGATATACTCAACTATCATGATTTCTATCCCCAAAGCAAGGTGCAGTTGTATGACTAGAAATAATAAATTATCTAAAAAAATGCATATAATAATTACATAACCATTTAACAGTTTCTAATTTCTATGAGTTCTGACAGCACAATATTTTATTATGGGTAACTAAAATGGCAATGATTTGGTTACTTGTAAAAAAAAGAAACTAAATTATGTTTTGCATTATTTTTTAAACAAAATCTCGTTAACTGATATGTCAAGTATAGGCAATATCAACAGCTTCTTGACAAGATCCCCTCAGAATAATTTAAGCAATACAGAAAGAGCCTAAACTAAGAAACAAAGTAATACTTTACTATGCCAAATCTTAAAGCTAAATTTTCATGCCTAGTAACATATCATTCAAAAAGAATTTCTATGATATCTGATTGCTCCGTATCAGAAAATAAGTAATAAATATATGAAATCAGTATTTTTGGAATCTCTAATACAGTATTATAATCAGTTTGATTTATTCAAAAACTATACAACTATTTAAAATGTTATACGATTAAACCTTACCAAGCCTTATGCAAAAAGAAACTAAACAAAAATAAATACAACAGTCACACTTCAGTTATGCTACACCTTCGAGTATAAGGTTTATGCTGATTAAGTAATATACGATTCAAAAGAGTTTCTCCAAAATATAATTTCGCTATTATAGAAAATATGTAATAAACATTCCTGAATCTTGGATTTAATATGCCTAATCAATATGTTTGATTTAATAGAAAAATATATAGTCATTAAAAAAAATTTTAAATCAAAACTTACCAGGCCATATAACATTTCATACAATACAGCTCCAAGACACCACCAATCAACAGCTTTATCATAAGCTTGCTTTCTCAAAACCTCTGGAGCTAAATACTAAACAATCCATCTTGTTAAATCATTAAGAAGTAATATGACTTTAAGAAAACATTATGCACACTGAATTTAATGATGATTAAATAAAAAATTGTCCTTTCAGAAATAGCTTTATTTGCACAAAAATATAAATTCATACCTGCAAAATTTATAAGAGTATAAAATCAGAAAATGTTTGAAAAAAAATCGAAAGAAAGCCTAAAGGAAATTTCATAAACAAAACACACATGCACCTGGATATTTTAAAAAAATTATAATGAAATTAGACAAGTTTAACATATTTACAGAAATCATTTTGCTTTTGCTCAGAAGTAAAGTTTCAGAAAATGTGCCTTATGATCTTACACCATATATTTTAAAATATGACACGGAAATAAAAAATGGTAAGTAAGATTTTCTAAATAAAAGCACTTTATTATTTCACTGGCATTTTAATGATATCATAAGAGTCTTATTATATTTGTTAATGAAAATATCGTCATGAAACATACAAGTCAAAGAATGTGAATTTTTTTTTTAATTATTAAGTTTTAAAATTACTAAAATATTGATCTAATTAAACCTGACATTGCATAACAAAAGATTTCATATTGCCCCAAAAGGGATTTAGCTATTCATAAAAGTTGGCAGACATGCAATGTCCTTATGCTATATTAAAAATACTTAAGAATATAGTATATTTAATGATACAAATAAATAAAATTATGAATTTCATATAAATAGAAAATTGGATTATTGATTATGTTTGTCATAATGTAATGCCATTTGCCTAAGAAGAGGGATGTCTTAATGAAGGACTTTCCAAGAGAAACTGGCTTGTGTTCAATCTACAAGTGGGAAAATTCAAATAAGAAAAATGAAAAAAAAAAAAAAAAAAAATTCATAAAAATTTCAGCTGTATTTCTTTAGAATACTTACCATTTAGAACAGTTGCAATGTTTATCTAAATTTAATAAACAGCTTTCTGCTCAGAAAATACTTATGCAAAGCTTACAAAATTTAAGAAACTATTTAGAAATAAAAATGAATTTAGAATATGACATCTATTTCACCATTTTTTAATTATGAGCATTTAAGCAGCAGTAACACTTTTCTTCTCTTGACTATGGTTAACAGTATGAATTGCTATGCTGGATATTAATTAGCCTTCACTTTAACTACAAAAGATTTACTTGAAGTTTCCCACTGTACACTTTTAAATATTTATAATAACCATGGAGACACAATTTTATATTTAAACTTCTTCACTCTGCTTATAAGAAATTTGAACTTCAGAATCCACATAATCCTTACTTTTTTTTTTTGGTCATACTATAAATCTTAAAATCAAGAAATTTAAATTTTCCCCACTGAAAAAACATATCATCTGGAAAAAAAAAGAGATGTTGCAAACCTTTCATTACTTCTTGAATACTATACAATAACTTTATTCTCTAAACGTTTGAGACAGTATACATATTAACATGAAGACAAATTATATCCGATGAATATATTTCCAATGCAATTACCAAATTCAAAAAATATTCATAAACATATTTTGGCTTTCACAATCTGCTTGCTCACACTGGCTGAGTGGGAAAACACTCAGCCAGTGTGAGCCCTAAGCTATTAAAAGCAGTGTATAAAAGTTTTTAAATAAGGACTATATCTTTAATTATTACACTAGATGAATACAATTTACTCCATTTTAGAATGAAATAGTTACACCATGAAGAAATATTTTACTTTAAAAATAAAATTTTCAACATAAATTACCTCAGGTGTTCCACAGAAAGTTGTTGTTGTGTCTTTTTCAGCAAGACCTTCTTTGCTTAACCCGAAATCTGTCAACACGACATGACCCTATCAAAAAAATATTTTAACTAAAAATATTTAAACCAAATGCGAGACACTGACATGTGTATATTTTTTTTAAAAAATTTACACTTTTGTTACTACCAAGTTATCAAGCAAGCTCTTTTTAAAACAGAATTACATATTTGATCATCTACTTTACCTTAAAATTATTTAGAAATATTTTATCTTACAGTCTTTTAAATTACTAAAAAAATGAATCACATGAAATAATATTTTACATCAATATTGATTATAAATGTGAAAAATGCTTTCATGTCAGCAGTTTAACATTTGACCTGAAGGATATACAAAATATTTCTATTTTCTGAGCCATAAATATTAAACTGTCAACATATTTAACAGGATGGATAACAAGTATATAATATTAAACTATATTATGTACTTGTTAAGTATTTAAGTGCATGCAAATATTTTATTTTATCCATCATAAAATATATGCAACCCAGTCATGTGTATAGTTTAGTACAGTTAATAATATGTCATTTTTTCTTACTTTGTCTTTTAAGTTGGTTTGGATAAAAAATAAATGTCTTTTATACATTATAATACAATTTACGGTTTTGCACTCTTTTTAATTCAATTTATTGCAAAATTTAAGAGACAGATTTTTTTATATCATACATTTTCTATTTTTCTCTAGTAGCCATATTTTATTTTATATTAGTAGTACAGTTTATTACTACTGCAATAGATACAAGGCACAACTGGGACGCTTAATCTGCATTTAAGTAGTCAATATAAATTCTAGTAAGCAAATTATAAAGTATTTTTTGTGCACTTTAAAAAAACCAAGATTCATTTTGATGCGCCATGTTGATCAAGTCATTTGGGAAGACAAGGAATAAGCATTCTTTTCTTTGGAGAAACAATATTTTGCACATTGAGACGGTATTTTATTGTTTCACTGGTTAAGGAACCACATACTAGGACTATCTCTCTAAGTAAAGTGATGCCTACCTATATTGAGACAGCACAGCACATCAGGGCTTTTCTTTCATTTTTCATTATATGCTAGTAACCTGAATAGAATATGTACACAGAAATATAATCTAAAAAAACATCATGCACCGTTAATGTTCTGAGGTAATAGTAGGCGGAGAAAAAACATTCATTGTACTTATTTTAGTTCTGGAGAATTTTAAACTTACTGTACATAATGGCAGAGAGACTAACATCTTGAAATCCTGAGATATACCTGGCATTCTATAGCATCAGCCCAGTGCAGGGGAAAAACTGTTAAACTTTTAACACTTACTTCTGCTTTTCTTACCTCCATGAAACAAATATGTGCTTGAAGGCATCTAATGAAACAGCACCAATCAGTGTTTTTCAGAAAATCACACTCGCCCAGTCCAGATGTTATAGTTTAAGATGATACTACATTCTATTCATGATTTTTCCCGATTTGCATTGGCAGAACTCTCAACAGCCAACATTACATCAGGGTTATTTTCTTACCCCAAGATCTTACCCTTCTTTCACAGTTAATATTTTACTCCACCAAGAGTATGAATGCTTGACTATATACAGCCTAGATCATTTAAGATATCTTCCCTGCATAAAGTATTGTTCCCATAGACTATATACATCCTATACTTCCCTCTCAACTTGCTACTTTATCAGACACATCAGTTATGAAATGTGAGGAATATGACAGATAAATAACTGGCTGTCCACAGTCATCACTGATGAACTATGGTCTTTGTAGAAGTAATCTAACAGGTTTATGCATAAAGTATTGTTCGCATGGACTTTACATCCTAAATTTTCTGTTTCAACTTGCTACTTTAACAGACACATCAAATTATGAAATGTGAGTACTGTGACAGAAAAATAACTGGCTGTCCACAGTCATCACTGATAAACCATGGTCTTTGTTGAAGTAATCTAACAGATTTCCCAAACATTGTTTCTGAAACATTGTTCATCTGAAAACATTGTTTAATATGTTAGTGGTTTCACTCAATGCAGAGATTCAATGTAAATATATGTGACATAGCAATGAAAATGTCATTTATACCCTATAACATGAATAACCTGTGACATACATGTGATCACAATATGAGCCTTCTTGGTATTGTAATTTTTACTCATGGCACTGTATGTGGTTAGCACACCTATCAGAAGGAACTAACAATGTAAGAAAATAAAAAATGCCAGATTAACTTTGAGCCAATAAAAACTCAAATACTTGGAAAATGTTTTATATGGTTTGGTTAAAATAATACATAAAAATCCACAAAAGTAAACTTCAAGCTATAATTTGCCATTCTTCAATTCTTGTTACTATTCCAGTGACTTCACTTGAACTATGGATATGGGTCTTACTATTACTGGCCCTGTGAATTTTGTACCTCAAACCATAACTGCTGAAGCTTATAAAGCAATAATAAATATCGGATAAGTCTGTGCTATCCATTCTGTGGCAACAACTGGAACTAGGCCTTAACATTTCCAACAAGGCAATTCACTCATTCATAATGTGAAAGCAATAGCCAACTGGTTTGAAGAAAGGCAAGTGAAGGAATTTGACTAGCCAACTCAAAGTTCTGATCATAATCTAATCAAATATTTTTAGGTGAGTGTACTGGTATCTATGCTATGGGGGATATCATACCATGCTCCAGTTCAGCAAATGTATAGGGTTCTCTAATCATTAAAGGCATTGTGTATTTTTCTTAACCATAACATAATCCTTGAATGAAATGAGAGACTGTAATTCTGATTAAAGCTGCTTATTTTAAACAGCAACAAAAATAAAGAAATTTCAAATCAGTTTTTGTGCACATTCATTTAACCTCATAATGCATTCAACTGAGTTAACTTGAGTAAACTGAACTAAATTATTTCTGCACACCTGAGTAAATAGGTTCAAGGGTTTTTTTTTTTTTTTTTTTTCCAGATATGAATACAACAGAATATCATCTGCTATAGTTTTGAGTTAAAATAAGAAAGAAGTAAAAAAAAAAAGGTTGAATTAAAATAAAAGAGCAAAAACTTTAGAAGAAAAAAGACCATGTTATGAATTTTTATTGGTGCATTAAGGGGTTAATAGTCAGTGAGAAATGGTTCATCAATTAATGCACAAGAGCGGAGAAGTGAAGTAACAGTGATTTAAAAAAAACATACACCAATTAATGCACAAGGGTGAGGAAGTGAAGTAACAGTGATATAAAAAAAAACTTAAATTTAAAATGTTCTGTTATTAGCTAGGAACTAATACATACTGAAAAGCTGTTAGTTTATTGCTCAGAGTAAATCAATAAATCAATCTTTTCTCTTTTTTTTTTCCAAGTTTTAAACTCTAACCCATGTAAAGAAAGAAAATTGTATGTGTGTGATTATGGCAAAGCTTCAAGGGCTATCTGCCTAAAGGGAGGAATGCCTTCATGGAGGACTTTCTAAGGGAAACTGGCTCGTATACATGTTACACATGGGGAAAACCACGAAAACACCCATGAAGCCAGCCCGTTTGCGGGATTCGAACCTCGGACCGAACTACCAGTGTTCAGCGACTTTACCGCTCGGCCACTGGTGGGCAGAAAGAAAATTGAAAATTTTACTACATGAAAGATAATTTGAACTTGAATTTTAAAGTAGACCAAGGAACTTTTTTTATATTTAATTTTATTTCCGTATACTTGAACAGCAATGGCATATTTAACATACATAAATTTTGAACGGTTATACACTGTTTATATACAAGATTTAATTGTAAGAATCAAAACACTTGCACAAGATCATATGCTAGTGCATTACAGTTAAAGAAAATTAATTCCAAATAGTTTAATAATTTAGTTCCAAAACTAGACTTTTTTCCAATATCAAATACAAAAGTTTAATCAAGATTGAGGTATTTAATGCAAAAATGACAAACATACTGAAAACCTAAGAGACAAATAGAAGTAATTTTATTGGGTAAACACATTAAAATTAGGGCAATAAAATAATCGTATGAATAAAGTATAACTTTATTTCTGAATAATTTGCTTTTTCAAACAGTAATTCTATAATTTGCATAAAATTTTTATTCTTCATATGATATAAGACTGCATACCTGATAGTCCAAAAGAATGTTTTCTGGCTTCAAATCCCTAAAAAAAAAAAGTTTCATTTAAAGTAACTCTTTAAACATTTAAGAAACACAGAATCATTCTTGAAATAAATGCAGCTCAGAAAACAAACCTTATGAAAAATAATCTTAGGCTGTTCAAACTGGATACAGACATGAATCCTTATGCGAGTTCATATAAGCATTAACAAGATGATAGAAAGTATTTAAGAATATTACAGTAAAACTTTAGGAATCTCAAACATTGCTGATCATAAATAAAAATTATCATTTTTATCCTGATCATTCTTAATTTCTTATATAGTTTTTCTGTTCTTGATAATGAATAAATTAATTCTATTTGGGAGTATATACTGTGCATGGACACTGTCATCTGATGTTAAATGCATAAATAAGCTGAGATTCATATAGCTGTTCCCAAACCTTAAACATTTATCAGAAACAGGAAGAAAATAGTAAAAAATTACTTGTTTCGCTTAAAACCGACTAAAGCTTCTGTTTCATTTATGCATACATTTTAAATTATTTACATCCATTTTTAGCTTTTATATTTAAGGAATGGAAAACTTATTTGTCAGTCATTAAAAGGAAATTCAAATAATTTCTCAATATCAAAAACATTGTTTTAAATAGCATGAATTGATTAAAATAAAATTTTTTCACACAAGTATTTCTAGGGGATTTAAGGGAAACTCCTATGACTAGATAATGACAATCAAGAAAATAACTTCGTTACTCGAAAATAAGGTCCTCTAGAATATAAAAACTGTATTTTTACTATATGAAAAAATTAGAAAAACTTATTGACACATTAGCTATTTGCTTTCAGGCATATCTATATTCAGTATAGTGGATGCAGTCATAAACTCAATTCGCTCAATTAGAGGTTGCTATTATACTTAGCAGTACTTATGCAGTTTGTATATATAATAATTATCTGAGTAGTTTATTTAGTAATTAAATAGTGCAATCAATCCTTACTATACGATAATCCAAATCCTTTCTCTCATTCTGCAATTTCATTTATTAAAATGCCCGGTTATAAGAGCATATTAAATTTTATAAAAAAATTACAGAAAAAAAAACTTATTTTTTAACATTTACATAACTGGTAACAGAGTTAATATATATAATATGGTACTCTTATATCTAGACGGTTAACAACTAGATGGAATATGCATGATTATTTCTAAATTTAACTTTTGTTTAATTATTTCTAAAAAATTGAAGACCTGAATTAAAAAATAACATGTTTATTTCCTTTTTAGTGTTCTTATACTATATACACAAATACATTTACATAACTCTACAGATTAGGATGACCGATTATATTATTTTTCAGCATAGATATTATACTTTTAATAGTTCATCTTTACTTCATTATTTCAATTACTGATTAATCTAGATGGTCTTTCATTTAACTTAAATTTGCATATAAAACTATTTAACAAATATGAAAATTTCTCTGAAAATATTTAGTATTAAATGTATACATTAAATATGATTAAAGGTAATGTACCGAGATATGAATATATAGTGAAAGAAATATAAAATTACAAAAAAAAATTTAATATTTTAGAAGAAAGACGTCAGTATTTTTAGTTAAATTTATACAGTATTATAAGTGAGAAAAGTTAAAAAAATGTATAACTAATTTCATAAATGAATAAAAATTACTAGTATATAATAGTTTTACCAACTAACTCTTTAACTGCAAACAAACAATAGATATGGAAAAGACATAATACAGAAAAAATAGTTGTGAATGCAAAATATATTCTCTCAACAATCAAAGTATTAGAATTCACAAGACGGTAAAAATACCAGCTTATCAGTTTGCATTTAACATGAATATACTATTAGCAACAGATACATAGTTGTTAGTAACATGTCACACTGTTAGTAACAATCTGATACATTATCTAAAAAATGGGTGATTGTTAGTAAGTTCTTGTTAGAAAGTTTTCTCTATAGAGCATTCAGAATTAATTTAAGTAATTACTTTACCCAAAGGGGAATATTTGATCACGCCCTTTAGTAAAAAACTGAACAGTGTCACATTCTCCAAATAATGTAACTATACTGATCTGTGAAATGTGTGTTCGTGAGGAATTAAAACTCAGTTAAGCAGTAAATTCTCACTCATATTCTTCAGTTGTTCTTTCACTGTTGATATAAGTTCTTAGAATAACGTTTTATCTACAAATTTTCATAATTGATTTAAACGTATCACTGTTTTACATAAAGCTAAAACTTGATTTTACAGTAAAAAACTGCAGTGTAATGACACTTTGTTATCAATATTGCATGTAAAGGATAACAAAATGCATTTATGACTTCATTTCTGTATTCTATTATATACATTTCCACACTAATTGATAGCTTCTCTAGCAGAAAAAATAAATTTTCATAATAAATGTTTGTTCATTAACACCTGGTTTTACAAATAGCAAAATACTGTATAGTTTTAACACTGCTTTGCGTTTAAGGAAATTATTCTGTCTGGAAATATTTTGTCTCAACTAAACTTTTCTCCCAAGATGGTAATTTGGGTTAAAATAAGCTTAGCTATGCTAACTTGGTTCCAATTTTGTATTTAGAAAATGATTTTAACCCTTAACTATCCACAGTCTGACATTAATACTAACATCTGGTATTCTAGAATTTGCCTCAGATTAATAAAATTCATAACAAAATGATATTTGGATAGCAAAACTAGTTTAACGAAATGGCAGAAAATTTTAAAACAGTTTTAATAGGAATGCCATTAAAAGAAAGGCAGTTTCTTGGCAATAGTTAAGAATACATTTATGATAGGGTCACAATATCCTTCCTAAGTATCAAACATTTGGAATTTAATATGAATTTTTTTTCTCTTCGACTTAGACTGTTGTTTATTTTTCATATTCAAGAAAAAGATTACAATTTAAATGTTACATTTCCTTTTTCTAATTAAGATGTAACATGTAGAAATAAAACTTTGTGATGATGTAAAAAGCATTCTGTTGTAACAATGAAAGAAGCCAAATGTAAGATGACATGGCAGAGTCAATAAACATCCGTACAGCTGAATGAATAAGTTGAATGAAGTGCACAAAAACTGTGAATGGTAATAAAAGAACTAATGTTAAATTGATGGAAATTGATAATTTTTAAAATTTTGCAACTCAGTTGTATTTTAATATATTACTTTATTCTTTTAAAAGACATTAACTTAGTATTTCCCAGAACATGTGCCATGAAATGAAATTTTGCCTCAGAAAAATCTTATACATACTTTTCAAATGGCATATAATTTTCAAATGTTTTCATTACACATTATGTATGTACATAATACATTTGTATTGCATATATGAATGTATAATTCCTGATCCAGTGTGAGCTCAGGCATTCAGAATGCAAATAATCTTGTTACATGTTAAAAAAATATTGCTTTCCTTATTACTCAAAGATTACTATTTAAATATAAAAGATATAGAAATAGCAAATAGCATTATTTAATAACACATATATCAGCAATCAAAATGACATTTAATGTAAAATGTACAACTCTTTCATGCATATGACTCTTTCTTAGTTCTTTTCAAAAACTTCAATAAGCAGTTGAAATCCCAATAATGAGAGAGCTTTTTCTTATTTTAAATTAATAGGCATCATAATTATATCTTACCTATATATGATTCCTTCTGCATGCAAGTAACCCAAAGCACTTGTTATTTCAGCAGCATAGAAACGTGCTCTTGGTTCAGGAAAATATCTTTCTCGTTGAAGATGGAAAAACAGCTGCAAAGAGAAGAAAATATTTTCTTTAAATCAAACATATAGTATGTTCAGAAAGACCTGCAACTTAATCTAATAATAACACTTTTTAAATACCATAGAACTGAAATACATTAGATTAAACAAAGAATATGCAAAATATTTAAAAGATCTGAGATTACTGTTTAGTTTGGGACAATGCATATTTAAATAATAACTAATTCATTTACAACTAAACAATAATTTTTTTATTTCTTGCAGACTTTTGTACATTATATGAGCTTATTTAAATGCATACAGTTTATATGGCCACCCAAACGGTACAGTAGTTAGGGAAGCCTGACTGCAATACCGAAGGGCCCGGGTTGGAATCCCAGAGAAGGCATGGACATAAAATTGTACGTCTCTTCATTAGAGACAATGGTGGCCCACCTATTAGGTGCCTCCACAATAAAGAGACCACCACATCTGGTCTTAGGAGTGGCTGATACCGGCATAGGCAAGCCCCCGCCATTCGGGGTAGTGGGGTAAAATCATTTTATATGAGGCACATGCAGAACTAGAACACATTTGGCAATAAAAAAGGAACAAAAGTTAAGTGAACAAAAGAAATTAGTTGAATAAAACCTTTTTATCTTGAAAGTACATATTTTAGGCTAGGAGACAAATGATTGTGTATATTCTCATCCTCCACTTCTGTTGCTAATTTAATTGCCTGAAGGATATTGCTTCCATGGGAGTACCTGGTGATCAGCAATGTTGCCAAGTCAATCAATTGTGTATAAGTATTCATGTGAGTATAATAAAGGTGGTGCATGATAGTTGTGCAGCAGCAATTGTATACACATTTATAGAACAGCTGAGCTGAAATGAATACACACACACACACACACACACACACAAAAAAAAAAAAAAAAAAAAAAAAAGAATCCTCCCAAGTGTAATGCAAAAATAGTCAGGTTTTGCTTGGTGCCAACATGATGGACCAAATCATGATGGAAGGCAATGGTATCAGAACTTTCTAGTTGAGAAGGTCAATGTCCATGATGAAGGATATCTTACATGGCTGTACATTGTTACAGATGAATTCCAGCATAATATTGGTGAAGCCATGCAGTGAATCTAGGCTGTTACTGCTGATGAACATCATGGTCAGTTTCTACAAGCATTGCAGTCCCTTATTACTGATAACATAACCAATTACCTCAACTACGAAAAAATTTATGTCACATGGTTCTCAAGCTGGCTAACTACAGAATACACGCGCACACTAAAAATGTTAAAAAAATAGAAGCAGCATTTAATTTTGATGATATGCAAATAGAAGTTATGATTTTTCTCTCCTTCATCATGACCTATGACAAAATTTAGGTTAACTATTTAAGGCATACTGAAAAATAATTCCTGACATGACCAATAGCAGACTTACAGCTATCGAGGCCCAGGGTAGAAATCTCCCTGGGCCCACATTAGTGGAATGTTATCACCATGCAATATGTAAAGAAATATGTAATTATTTTTATTTTATTAAAATTTAACAGTTAAAATCATTAGGGGAAAAAGGTTTAAGCCCCCCCCCTCCTCAAAAAACAACAACTTACATTCAGCAGACAAACATATATTAAAAAAAGTAATATTTTTAATACTATTACTGGTGATTTAAAAGAAACGTTTGACTTTCCTGTCATTAAAAAAATCTGATATGGACACCATATGACTTCCTTTTATAGCCTATTGAATTATAAACTTTTTTGCTACAACATTAAACTAATATAGCATATTGTTAGATATTTACAACAATAAACTGACACTAAATTTGTTAGATATTTGTTATTAGACTAACAACATATATACACTGATATGTATTCAGTTAGATTTTATTACTTGGTGAAAATTAACTTTTCAAAATTTGGCATAGCCAGAACATGAATATATTCATTATTTATAAAACTTCTGTTACTGGATGTGACTACGAACAACAATTGTGAAAATAAAGACCGGATTAGTACTTTTAGGCTAGGTATGAGAGCTGGTGTGAAAATTCCTTTTTCCTTTCTTAAATTCTTAATCCTTGCGACACGACAATTAGCCAGAAATTAATTAATTTCCATTCACTAGTATTTTGAAAAAAATCTTAACAGACAGTCTCACTCAAATAAGAACTCCACATAATACATCCCTCAAGAATTCCAAGTCCCACCCACTACCATAAATTTCTTCACCCAAGTCTTACCGACTGATATATTCAAAGCCCCTACTGCCGCTAAGAATTTTCGGACACCCTACACTTCTGAGTCAGACACGAAGAGAACACTTTGCCAACTCCCCCACTAGAAAGAATGTAAGTTACTTAATACCTTTCTGGCCTTTATATCTTCATGTACATTCACTGATTCTTATTATATATTTTTTTATATTATTTTTATATTATTTTTATATTGTCTTTGATTTGTGTTTTACAAAGTTTGCATTATTTATCTTTTTTATAATCTTCTATGTTTATTTCAACTTTACTTTGATTTCGATTTCATAATGACAATTTCCAATGTTTAATTTCTACAAATAATATAGTACTCAAATACATAAAGATGATAGTGTCGGGGACGATTACTCGAGTTTTACAAGATTTCTCTACAGTAATTGATTTTTTTTACTCCAAATTGAATTGACTAAAATGCTTCATGAGAATAAGTTCTTTGAGTATCAGCAACATATTCGCTATTCGCGGAAATATTTGGCCTGACTAGAATTGCCGGTTTGGCTTTAACTTATAACTCGAGTAAAGACGAAACACTTTCATATTTACGTATTTTTATCAATTATTGATCATTGAACGGGAGTTGGTTTGTTCCCCTTGAAAAGTCAACTAATTTCCGATCAATGACAATAATTACATGTTTTAATTTTTCCTTTTACAATTGAAATTTTATTCTTCGTGATGATTTAACTCCAGTCCCCGTTAAAACATTATTAACATTTTGCTTTCAAATTACTTCAAAACATCTTTCAAAATATAACTTACCAGTATGGATTCACACTTTTAAAATAATTCTACTTTAATTAAACTTAGGAGATAATATAATCAATTAATCAATACTGTTTAGGAAATAAATTATTATTAACTAACTTTGCAGCAATAAGTAATGCGCACTAGGATTTAAGTAATTTGATATGCTACAGCTATTCGCTTTTTAAGTTTTATAAGTTCTTATACAAAAACTTTACTGTATTGAAGGTTAGCAGCCTGCTTACTTTTATATCTTGCTAGTTTAACTCATATTGAAATCATTAAATGTCATTCCACTAGATGACAAACTTGAAAATTTAACGCCATGCCTGCTACAGGTAAACCCAAAAAACAATTTCTATGAAAAACATTTAACTGTATTTACATGATTACATGCGGTACTTTACATATTAAATATATAGGACAGACTAAAAACGATCTTAACTTTCGGATCATTAACCATAGAGCTCAAATCAAAAAATTCAACGCACAAAAAAAATAGCATTAAAATAAGTACACCATCACAACTCAATACAGCAGAATTAGAACACTTTAAACACCATGACTTCAACTCTATTCAATTCAGATACTAGATATAATACCCAATCACAAAACACGAATTTTTCAGGAATCTCTCTATATACTAAAACAACGTTCACTTTATCCATATTGACTTAACACTTATATACATAGTCATAGAGATACTTCTAAGAAGTCTATTTTCAGCCAATTTAAGCTCTACAGCAACAAAACGCAGAGAGGAAAAAAGAGGAAGCAAAATAAAAAATAATGCGAGATTTTTATCCACTTTGGATACACTTGCATTGAAAAAAACAATTGAAATGTTTTTTTTGACTCAGACTAACTTTCCCAAGAAACTTCTCAACTGGTTACACTCCTGTACTAATAAATTCCTTATCAAACTAAAAAAAATTCATTCAAGAAAGCTACGACGACATACAAATCATTAAAGACATGATTCTTGATTTTAGTCTTTTCAGACTCTCTAATAGTCTCACTCAACGCAAAATTTATTTTAAAGTCAATTTTCTACATCCGCAGTTTGACAATATTCATTTCTCAAGAATCATCAGAGATTGTAAAGATTACTTCCCCGCAGTTAACACAATACCAATGATTGCATTTAAATATCAAAGGACCTTAAGCAACTTGCTGACTAACCACCATGAAATAGATGAAACAGCAGAATGACATTGTAAGACACCAATTTACAGCAATTACGTGGATTCTCATCACCAGCACATAATTACTGGCAACCTGAATATCCATACAAAACCATCAACTAAAACACTAATGAGTTATGGTACAAAATTTAGACCAGTCAGAAACATGACTACAAATTACTGTTACAAGACTTTCGAAAACAACATCAACGAATTTATAGTTAAAGCAAGCTATCAACTGAATTTACCCATAGATACCTTCTTAAAATGGAAAGCTAAAATTCTTCAACGCATATCCACCGAAATCAGTCACCTCAAATTTAAAAGTACACTGAATTGGTCGCAACTTACATCAGATATTAATAAATTAAAACAGCTTTTTTTACTATTACAAAAATAGATAAAGCAACTAATAACTTTAGCATTATATGAAAACAATTCTACGCTGAAATTATTCATAAAGAACTTCTCAACGCAACTACTTATCAATTAGCCAACCTTACAGAAACATCTATAATAAACAGGATTAAAACTTTTCATAAGAAACTCAATATTACTTTCAATGCAAACTACAACAGATTTACTAATCTTTATGCGATTCCCAAATTCCATAAAACACCATTAAAATTTAGATTTATAGCTAATGGAACTAATAATTACAAGAAAAATGTAGACTATTATTTTTCAATTCAACTTAATAAAATCTGTAAATTTATTTTCAATGATTGTAACACTAATCATAACTATTGCTGGATCATTCATAATAACACTCCTGTCATTAATACCATTCAAACCATTAACATCCAAAACATTAACTGCTATGACTTTTGAAA